CTACATAAAAAAGAATTAGAAAGTTGACGGGAAGACTGAATTTCCGGCCACAACAGCCATTTTTTTTCATTGGCTTTGGGAAGCCTCTAAAACGTAACAATCCAAAACTACTTCTCTCTGAATCTAGAGCAACACGACAAACGCAGAAGGGAACAAACAGAATACCGTTGTCAGCTTCAGTGAATTTTTACAGGATTTTCATTTGAAAAAGCATGCACAGGGTAAGATTCTGCAAACAAAAAAAAAAAAAAAAAAAACCACGGCAAAACTATCGGACACATTTTAAAGGTTAACAAAAAGGAAACACACGTTCCAAGCAGTTAAGGCTTGAAATTTTTAGTTGGAAAAACAATATTTAAGAGAGGTATATTGTTGGGAGCATCCAGCTTTTGCAAAACGTCAGAGGTGCCCAGCTGCATTTCCATCTCCGCTAGCAAGCTAAGCTCCGGAATGAATACACTGGGGAGGTTCCAGGACGACGTTGATTGATTTGATTAGGTTTCTATGCTGCTCCAATAGCCCACTGACTTTAACGCACCTCGGCATAATGTGTGCAGACCCCACCAGACACCCCCCCCACACCACACACACACACACACACACACACACACACACAACCATGCGTCAATTACCTTATAATAGGCCACATAGCCGCTTTCAGTTAACACCTTCAAGAATGAATAGGAAAAACAAAGCGTGTTCTGCTGTTGTTAAAGTAACCCTTCTCTGCTTTTACAACAAGCAAACATGTTTTGGGAACTTAGTTTAGCTTTCTTTCTTTCTTTTTATCTTTCTTTTTTCCTTCCTTCCTTCTTTCTCTTTTTCTTTCTTTCCCTCCCTTTCTTTCCTCTTTCCTTCCTTCCCTCCCTGCCTCATTCTTTCTTTCCTCTTTCCTTCCTTCCTTTCTTTTTTCCTTCCTTCCTTCTCTCTTTTTCCTTTCCTTCCTTCCCTCCCTCTCTGCCTTTCTTTTTCCTTTCTTGCTCTTTCTTTCTCTCTTTTTTTCCTTCCTTTTCTTTTCTTTCTTTCCTCTTTCCTTCCTTCCTTCCTTCCTTCCTTCCTTCCTTCCTCCCTCCCTCCCTCCCTCCCTTTCTTCTTTTTGGAAAGAAACCTCTGGTTTTGGATATCAAGACCGCATCCAGGCAAAGAGCTCTGAAATAAAACCCTCTCGTCTTAAAAAGATAACATGCGGACAAGGAAGAGGCTAACAAAGATTAAATGGAAGTCCGTTTATTGAATGGATCAAGAGAGGAATAGAAGGGCATTCATTCCGAGTTTGAAAGAAGGAAAAATGACCTTGGCATGGAAAAGGGAGGTAGAAACAAAACCATACCTGCAGGAAGCTGTCCTGGCAACAAAGGAATTCGTTTTTCTTCATGATGGATTCGGCGGTTAGCACCAGTTCGTTTTTACTAAGCGCAGGCTCGCTTCGGCTGGGATACACGGCCTAAAGGCACAGAACAGCAGGGAGATCAATTGCAGGGCCATTTTATGCTTGGGCGCCTTGGAAATCCGACAAGCATTTCGGAAGGAAAGGCTGCTCGGCGCTCTCGTACAAATATAACCCTCCGACCCAGGTCCTTCCAAAACCTTTACTGCACTCTAAGTAGCTTCTCAAAAGATGGAAGAAATCTCGCAGGGCATTTCCGCTGCAGAAACTGAAACCATGATGGGACCAAGCGGTATTTTATTTTACGTCCAAGGCCTTCGTGGTTTGGTGGATAGAACCGTAGTGGCACGGTGGTTTAGAATGCAATGCTGCAGGCTACTTCTGTTGACTGCCAGCTGCCAGAAGTTCAAATCTCACCAGGCTCAAGGTTGGCTTAGCCTTCCATCCTTCTGAGGTGGGTAAAATGAGGACCCAGATTGTTGGGAGGTAGTGGCTGATTCTGTACACCACTTAGAGAGGGCTGTGAAGCGGTATATAAGTCTAAGGGCTATTGCTATCTAGAAGGTTCTTCTACTTCTTTTAAAAAAGGATGCCCTGTGCTAATACTTACTCTGACGTTGTTCAGAACGCGCTTGAACTCCAAAGGTTCGTCTTTTCCTTCCATGGCCGCAGGATCTAAGCCATCCCCACCATAAATGAACTGTATAATGTCCCCCGTAGAACTCCTGACGGTCAAGTCATACTGAGAACAAAGATCTTCAAGGGATTTCACCAACCGTCTCTGGAGGAAGATGGAGAAATGTCATTCAAGATGGAGATCATAGCCAGTTCCTACTAACTACCATAAATAAGAATTGAGGTCTTTTTGAATATCCAGAATGTTTATACAGCTGAATAGCAAATATAATTATCAATCCATCCATCCATCCATCCATCCCTCAACCCTTGCCTCTATATCTATCTATCTATCTATCTATCTATCTATCTATCTATCTATCTATCATCTATCTGTCTGTCTATCATCTATCCCTCATCCCTACCTCCATCCTTATATATCAATCCATAAATCTATCTATTTCTCCATCCCTACCTCCATCCTTGTCTGTTTGTCATCTAATTATCTATCCATCCATCCATCCATCCATCCATCCACCCCCCCATCCATCTATCTATCTATCTATCTATCTATCTATCTATCTATCTATCTATCTATCTATCTATCTATCTAATCTATCCATCCATCTATCTTCTATCTCTCCTTCCCTCATCCCTACATCCATTCACCCATTATGCATTTGTGATTTATAACAAGAGGTCTCTGTAATTCTAAAGTTAACCTTCTATCCAAGTTCCTTAAAGGACCAAAGATATTAAATAACACCCAGGGTTTTGTTAATTGGCTTGGCTATATCCACAATCAACTGTTGTTGTTTTTAAAATCAAGGTCTCAGAAAACTTTAATTAGCACCCCTACATAAAAGCATTTACTGTGCCCTAGGAACTTCCAGGAGAAATTAACTTGAGCGTCCCCATTAAATAAATAAAAAAAATTGAAAGCTAACTAAGTACAGGTAGTACTTAGACATAATCATCCCTGAACAAGTTATGGTGGTTGTTTCTTAGATGAAAACCAGGTGAGATGGGATGACACACACAACTTATACAATACTTTCAATCATGTCGCCAGAATCCTTCCACTGACAATATCAAGGAAGGATGAAAGGAGAAACCAAAGCAACTTTACATTTAATTTGGCCCCATTTTACGACCTTTCTTGCCACAGTCATTAAGTGAATCATCAGAGTTGTTAGGTTAATAACCCGGTTGTTAAGTGAATCTGGCTTCCCCATTGACTTTCCTGGTCAGAAGGTCGCAAAAGGGGATCGCGTGACTTCGGGACGCTGCAATTGTCATAAATGTGAGTCGGTTGCCACGTGGGGGATGCTGCAATCGTCGTAAGTGTGGAAAAACTCCCCATTATAAGTCACTTTTTCAGTGCCAGTCACTCAACGAACTTAAGTTGAGAACTACCTGTAATCTCAAGCAATGAGCCGCGGTGGCGCAGTGGTCAGAGTGCAGTACTGCAGGCTACTTCTGCTGACTGCCGGCTACCTGCAATTCAGCAGTTCGACTCTCACCAGGCTCAAAGTTGACTCAGCCTTTTGTCCTTCTGAAGTGGGTAAAAGGAGGACCCAGATTGTTGAGAGGCAAGAGGCTGACTTTGTAAACTGCTTAGAGAGGGCTGCAAAGCACTGTGAAGTAGCATATAAGTCTAAGTGCTATTGCTAACTTGGAAGGAAGGAAGGAAGGAAGGAAGGAAGGAAGGAAGGAAGGAAGGAAGGAAGGAAGGAAGGACTATAGTAGTGTAGTGGTGAGACTGTGGTATCGAAGGCCAGTTCTGCCTGCTGTCAGGAGTTCGATCCTAACCGGATCAAGGTTGACTCAGCCTTCCGTGTCCTTCTGAGGTGGGTAAAATGAGGACCCAGATTGTTGGGGGCAAGAGGCTGACTCTATAAACCGCTTAGAGAGGGCTGGAAAGCACTGTGAAGTGGTATATAAGGCTAAGTGCTAGTGATATTGCCCTTCATTCCTTTCTTCTCTCCCTCCCAGTGGTTAAAATGGAATATTGCAGGCTAATTCTGCTGAGTGCCAGCAGTTCGATTCTCACCAGGCTCAACGTTGACTCATCCTTCCATCCTTCCGAGGTGGGTAAAATGAGGAGCCAGATTGTTGGGGGCAAGAGGCTGACTTAGAAAGGGCTGTAAAAGCACTTGTGAAGCGGTATATAAGTCTAAGCTATATATAAGTCTAAGGCTAATTTGTATATTGGATTTTTTTCTCAAGTGGGATTCTCTCTATATGAAACCAAGATCGAAGCCTATGGTCGCTACTTAAACAATCAACTTGGTCTAAATAACTAGACAAGGTGTTTGTTTGTTTTTTAAACTTTTAAAACAGAATTTATTCTCTTCCTGGCTGTCTCCCTATCCATATAAATTTGTGTTTGTGTGTGTAACTTTTATACTGGTCTGTCTGTCTGTCTGTCTGTCTGTCTGTCTGTCTGTCTGTCTATCTGTGTGTCTATCTATTAAATTTATATTGTCGCCTATTCACCCATGGTGACTTGAGGCGGCTTACAGAATGTCAAATTATATTTAAAATAAAAAACAAAAATAAAAATTAACAAAAAGAATCAAATAAATTAATAAAGTACAATAGGACAAAATCTGAAAATAAATAAATAAAAAATCTCCCAACTCCCACTCCTATCTCTGCTCATCCTAGCAGAGTTTTAGTTTAATTTAATTTAGTTTATTGTCACTGCACCTTGTACAACGAAATTAAATGCCATCTTCAGTGTACAATGTAACTATAAAAATAAAAACACAAACACACAACTGAATTGAAAATCGCTGATATTGCATTAATATGGCACTATATAGTAGAATTCAACAGAGTTCCTGCCCTGGGATAGAAGCTGTTTTTCAGCCTATTTGTCCTTGTTTTTACTATTACCCTGTACTGTCTGCCAGATGGTAATAGTTCAAAAAAAAAAGGGGGGGGTGCCCAGGATGAGATGGATCTTCAAGGATGTTTTCAACTTTTTTAAGGCAGCAGGAGCTATAAAGCTCTTCCAAAGAGGGGAGAGGGCAACCCATGATCCTCTGGGCAATGACGTTAACCCTCCTATTTTGGTAGTTCTTTTCTTTTCTTTATTCTCAGAACTGAAAACAGATGGAAGAAGAGACTAGCCGGCAGGGAAATCACTCTTGACCTAAAGGAGAATAAATACTTCTAGTTGGCTACACGGATGGTCCACATTTTCCTGTAGAAAATGTGCAATTACCTGCATGTATCCTGTTTCGGCTGTTTTTACAGCTGTATCGACAAGACCTTCCCGACCAGCCATGGTGTGGAAGAAAAATTCGGTGGGTGTCAACCCAGAATAGAAGCTGTTGGCCACAAAACCTTTAGCGGCTGGAAGCTGGAAAAAAAAGTGTGTGTGGGGGGGAAATTCTTTAGAAATAATATCACTTTACTTAATATCATTTACTTCCAACAGTCAGCACAGTTAACACGTTAGAATAGCACCAGCGGGCACAGATTCAAATTGCCACCGGGTAATTAATTAAAGCACATCAATCTAATTGGCTCCCTGGGAGGGTCAATTTGGAAGATATCTGGTCGCGAATTCCTTGGAGGAAGGTAAAATATCATTCAAGGGACAGACAAGCTTGTGATCAGAATTGGTAAGTTAATCTAACATCTTTGTGCATCTTTTATTCCATTCCAGTAGCATCTTCTATTTCCTGGTGGGACCTGCAGGATTCCACTTCCTTGGCGGAACCCAAAATCCCAAAATTCTCTCCGTTTCCCAAATGAAGAGAACTGGAGAAGTTGCCCAACAGAATTGCCTTGTATTTATGGAATTAAGATCCACATTCTGTCCTGTGTCTAAAACATAGCGTTCTGGTTCTTGATCCAAACAGCAGCAATCGGCATTCTGATCATGGCTTTTAACTGTTCAAAATGATTTATGTCCTATTATTCTTGTAGGAACTTCATAGCATCGGTCAGGGCTCTTCAAACTTGGCAGTTTTAAGTCTTGTGGACTTCAACTCCCAGAATTCCTCCTCCAGTCATGTTAGCTCAGGAATTCTGGGAGTTGAAGTCCACAAGCCTTAAACTTGCCAAGTTTGAAGACCCCTTGACATAGGTCAACAGTGCTTAAATAAGCTGAACACTTCCATCCACAGGCAGATCAGAAAGATTTGAATGACTCTTAGCTATCGTTTTGGGAGACCGGACTGGCATAGTGGCCAAAGATGCTTGGCAAGGAACGAGCAAAGTTCTAGGTCTCCCTTGGCATGGTTCTAGGCATGGAAGGCAACTGGATGGCTTTTGGGTCCACTACTTTCTCTCAGCCTTAGTCTGGGAAGATGAAAGACATCCCAGAAGAAGACACTGGTGAACCATTTCTGACAATCCAGGGACAACCATGACCTGGAGGACTTGAGAATCTCTACAGACTTTTAGCTATGCAATTTAGGATGAACACCCTTGGAATAGTATGGGAGTAGAAATGGATTTCCAGAGGAAAAATTGCAGACTACGGGAACCAGGAGACCCTGAGAGCATAGATAAACCTCCAAGTGGCCTCAACGACACTCTAAAACAGGGGTGTCAAACTTGCCGCGTGACATTTCTCCCCTTCGCAGAGCTGGGTGGGCGTGGCCTGCGCGTGACTCATCTGGCCTGCCACTTTGACACCCCTGCTCCAGGTAAAGGTAAAGGTTCCCCTCGCACATACGTGCTAGTCATTTCCGGCTCTAAGTGGCGGTGCTCATCTCCATTACAAAGCCAAAGAAGAGCCAGCACTGAGCGAAGACGTCTCCGTGGTCATGTGGCTTGCATGACTAAATGCCGAAGGCGCACGGAACGCTGTTACCTTCCCACCAAAAGGGTCCCTATTTTTTTCTACTTGCATTTTGACGTGCTTTCGAACTGCTAGGTTGGCAGAAGCTGGGACAAGTGACGGGAGCTCACTTCGTTACGCGGCGCTAGGGATTTGAACCGCTGAACTGCCGATCTTTCTGATCGGCAAGCTCAGCGTCTTAGCCACTGAGCCACCCCTGCTCTCAAAGGATGCAAATGTCCAGCTGTCTTCAAGAAGTGCAAATCCTTCCCTTCCTCACTATCCTGTCAGAGCTGAAGAAGCTTCTTGGAGGAGAAGCGAAACGTCTTCAAGAAGAAGAAAAAAAGCAAGAAAGTCAGGTTGCCTCCTGAAAAAACACCTTTGGGACAATTTCTGAAAATGTTGCCAAGAAAAATTGGAAAGGAATTGTGGTCTCCAGGTATGAAGAGAAGAATCATAACAATTATCACCTGGATCGAAAGTTCACCTTCATCTTATCTCATATTTTCATCAGGCTGCTTCGTTTGACAATATTGCCGAGGTCCTATCTAACTTCCAGGCTCCTTACCTTGGAATGCTTCTCAAAATGAGGCAAGGATCGGTTTTCAAAGCCATCAGGAACACGGGACCCACTGATGGCTTGCTGGCCTACACAAGCAATCATCTGGGATATATTAATAAAGGATCCTATTAGGGGGGGAAAATGACAACAACCAAGGTCAGCAACACCTTTGTCTCAGGACTGAAGGCAACATGTTATCATGCTGTTTCCCAACTCCACCCCCATTCTGCTACGATCAGTAAAATATCAAAAGTCAATATATTAAGCTTGTTCCGCTATCCTATAATATTGCATTTATTGTGAACAAGTTCTTCTTGTGATGGTTTTACTCTTTGACTGATTGTGAAGCAATCTCTACCCCAGCAGCTGAGCTTAAACAGAGAGAGAGAGAGAGAGAGAGACAGACACACACACACACAGAGAGAGAGAGAGAGAGAGAGGCAGAGAGAGAGAGACAGAGACACACAGAGAGAGAGAGGCAGAGAGAGAGAGAAAGGCAGAGAGAGAGAGAGAGAGAGAGACAGACAGACAGACACACACAGAGAGAGAGAGAGAGAGAGGCAGAGAGAGAGACAGAGACACAGAGAGAGAGAGAGGCAGAGAGAGAGAGAAAGGCAGAGAGAGAGAGAGAGAGAGAGAGAGAGACAGACAGACACACACAGAGAGAGAGAGAGAGAGAGGCAGAGAGAGAGAGACAGAGACAGAGAGAAAGGCAGAGAGAGAGACAGAGACAGAGAAACACAGAGAAAGGCAGACACACACACACACACAGAGGCAGAGAGGCAGAGAGAGAGAGAGAGACAGAGTGTGTGAGAGAGAGAGACAGAGAGAGACAGAGAGAGAGTCAGAGAGAGAGAGACAGAGACAGAGAGAAAGGCAGAGAGAGAGACACAGACAGAGACACACAGAGAAAGGCAGAGAGAGAGAGAGAGAGACAGAGCCACACACACACACACACACAGAGAGAGAGAGAGAGGCAGAGAGGCAGAGAGAGAGAGAGAGACAGAGTGAGACACACAGAGAGAGAGACAGACAGACACACACAGAGGGGGGGGAGGGACACACAGATAGACAGAGAATGACAGACAGAGAGACAGACAGACAGAGACGGAGGGAGATTGAACCGTCTGTCAGCCCTCAGATGGAGACTTCTTAGCCTGCGAGATAATTTTTTTGTCGGGGCTGCCTAATAAAGGAATCTTTTGAGTTCACATCAGAGGGTTTGTTGTGTTTGGGAAGCTGGGTCAGAACACTGAGGCACAGGAATAGCATCCATATGATAATGCTCTGATAAAGCTGATATCTTAGCAGAAATCTATGGATCCCAGAGGTAGGTGCTAATTTGGAGGGTCAATCCTACCTTTGGAACCACAAACGGCCATCGTGAGGGGGCTGTTACTTTTGTCTAGTTCTCTAAGGCAGGCACTGCCCGCGTGGTCTCGGATAACAGACAGTTCCTTCAGAATCAGGGCCTAGGAAAAAAGAATCAATTAGCAAGCGATGCTTGCAAGAATTTGCCTGTTTTCATCTCATTATAACCGAGTGTAATTAGAAGTTGACATCATTCTTAAGGTAGCAATCCAACACATATTGTTTGGAATAGAATAAAGTACCCCAAAATAACGAACAAAAGATTAATTGCTCTGAATTTTCCCAGTGGATAAACTACAATTAAAGGTAAAGGTTCCCCTCGGACATAGGTGCTAGTCATTCCCGGCTCTAGGGGGCAGTGCTCATCTCCATTAAAAAGCCGAAGAACTATCAGCCGGAACTATCTGAAGACGTCTCCATGGTCATGTGGCCAGCAGGACTAAACACTGAAGGCGCATGGAACGCTGTTCCCTTCCCACCAAAGGGGTCCCTATTTTTCTACTTGCATTTTTTACATGCTTTCGAACTGCTTGGTTGGCAGAAGCTGGGACAAGTGACAGGAGCTCACTCCGTTACGCGGCACTAGGGATTTGAACCACCGAACTGCTGACCTTTCTGATCGACAAGCTCAGCATCTTAGCCACTGAGCCACTGTGTCCCTTAGACTACAATTAGTGGTTACTAATTGTAAGAATTTGTCCTGCCGTGTTCCTTTCAGAACTAAAGAGAAAGTAGCTTCTTTGGCAAGAGAAATCAAGAGGAAGTGTCTCCGTCTTCAATTTCAAATCATAATATACCAGGAGTTTGAATTTTAACAGCTATGCCGCACCCACTGCACACTTTACAATACTGTTAAAGATAAAACAGTAAGAGAAATTACAGGGTACGAAACTGAATTTAAGCCAGAAGCCTTTTTACCGGGGATGATTAAAAGAAACCTGAAGAAACATATCAAATACATCGTACAACATATATTAACAGGGGCAAGAATTGCTTATGCCAAAAGCTGGAAAATAGATGATGTACCTTCAGAAAATATGGTAATAAATAAAATACATGATTGTGCCGATGGACAGACTGATGAGAAAACTAAAAGGTAAAGAGGAGTCTGAGTATTATGAGGTTTGGGAAATGTTAAATATATGGTTAGATAAGAGAAATATGGTTTGATATGGAAATGAATTGTAAATATTGTACCTAAGTATATAAGTAACGCTTCACACAGAACTGTTAAAATGTAAATTTTATATGTATTTTGAAAATAAATAAAATTTAAAAAAAAGATAAAACAGTCATGTGCTGGATCCAATTTCTGAACTTGACATGCACATAGAACAGAATAACAGAGTTGGAAGGGACCTTGGAGGTCTTCTAGTCCAACCCCGTTTAGGCAGGAAACCCTATCCCATTCTGGACAAATGGCTGACCAATCTCTTTCTTAAAAACTTCCAGTGTTGGAGCATTCACAACTTCTGAAGAGAAGTCACTCCACTGATTAATTGTTCTATCAGGAAAACTGTCATATTATTCATTCGTTTATACATTGCTTCTTCCCTTAGCAGTCTTGGTTTAATTGTAATGTTAACATTCATCGTTTTAATATTTTAATGTTTGGGACTGTTGGTTTTATTTTTGCTGGAAGCCACTTAAGAGTTGCCGTCAAGGCTAAATCACATTTTCGCCTACATTCCACTTTACCTGCAGCTTGACCATGAAAGGGAAGGGGGGTTAGAATGGAATATAAGGGTGGGGGGAATGGCATTCAAGCATCCATCCGTTCCTGTGACACATTGCCTCCACCTCAAGGACACACCGAGCAGATGTTCCAGCATGGCTGGTAGGTTCCCAAAACAATATCAGCAGAAGTGATTGGTGGACGTAATGGACTGTGGGTGGCCCGTAGGGAAAAGGGGAGAATTAACTATGCTTGCTTTTGCGTGAGAAACCCAGAACTGGTTTTGTTTCTTCTGTTCCAATGTGGTTTTTGTTTTTTTCAGTCAAGTTTTTACTCTTGGTAAAATAATGTCTTTTTCTGGATTCGCCAACTGGACAGCTGACAAGTCACTTGATGGCGAGATAGGCGGCATATAAATTTAGTAAACAAATTAAAACTTGAAAATGGGGTATAACTAACCTCTAGGGTTTCCTCCGCTGTGCAGCCAGGTTGCTGCTGTAGCTTTCCAGTCTTCAAGGCTTCAATATATTCGTCACATTTCTTGTAGCCGGCATTCAGAAGTTCATATTTTGCCTTCAGCAAGCCTTGGCCAGGGGTGACATCGCCAATTCCAATGGAAAAGCCACGGTTAGCTATGCAAGGGCCAAGAAAGACTACATCAGCACACTTGCAGAAAAGGTGTTTTGACCCAGCTCCCCAAATACGACAAACCCTCTGAAGTTAACTCAAAAGATTCCTTTATTAGAAGCGCCAACAGCCCCGGCAAACAGTTTCTCTCACAGGCTAACAAATTTGTCTGGCAGGGAGACAAATAATTGTCTGCCACCTCTATTCATCTCCACCCCCTGCCTTTTATCCCCAGAGCTAGGGTGTGGCTTTGCTAGCAGCGGTGGCTCTTTGGTCCCGAGAACCAGCCCATAGATCTCCACTGCTCTCCTCTCCTCTGCCTTCTGCGCATCCATGCGTCAGGCACTGGACCCAGCTGTTCCTCCTCTGCCTCATCAGCTACCTCCAGTCCTTTATATATATATACACACACACACACACACTCTCCAAAGCACCGGAGGGCAGGACAAGAAAAAAAATGGTTGGAAACTAATCAAAGAGAGAAGCAACCTAGAATTAAGGAGAAACTTCCTCACAGTGCGGACAATTAACCAGTGGAACAGTTTGCCACCAGACATTGTGGGTGCTCCATCACTGGAGATTTTTAAGAAAAGACTGGACAGTCACTTGTCTGAAATGGTATAGGTTCTCCTGCTTGAGTAGGGGGCTCGACTAGAAGACCTCCAAGGTCCCTTCCAGCTCTATTCTACTCTAATTCATGGTTCAAGATACTTACAGAGGTAGACAGGAGCCAGTCTGGCTAACCTTGACATGGCATCAGCTGCCTCCACTTGGCCCCAATCTCTCAGTAAAATGTAGAATATATTATTCTTCGATCCGGATCCCAACGTCCCCTTGTCCATGCTGCCAGACATCAACTCGCTGTTGTGGATTGCAACATCTGAAACACAAATGCGATGTAGCTGGCCAAGGGAACATTCTGGAGGAGGCAGCTTCGATCCTTCCTTGCTCGGCTGTGCAAAGTGCTTGATGTTAATTCCAAAACACCAACAAAAGACTTAAGAATCTGCAACTCTTTAAATGCAGCTGCATTTTTACGGTATTCTGCGGCAGCTGCTGTGAGCCTGGGAAAAGACACGGCTACTTTAAAAGGTTCCTCATGTTCATATAGCATAGCGTGCCTGAAATTTCTCACCTGACGTGCTCCAAAGTACCTTCAGTTATAGATTCCATAGCTGTTCTGATCTAGGCTTCCCAAAATCACAAAGCAGACTTGTCATCCCGACAAAACACTTTTTTTTATTAGGTTAATGTGAATTCCTATCATTCATATCCAGCAAAGCCCTGGCAAACAAGAGTGAATTACTACCACAGACCTTATCGGGCTTGGAGAGTTGCCAGGCCGATAGCTTCCAAGCGCAACGCTGTCCAAGGAAATACTTGGCAAGGAGTCTCTGTGAGTCACGAACAAATCTTCACACTAATTAAATGAACTAATTGTCTCCTGCAAACCCCACTCCCCTTTCGCTCTTTATTCCCAATGGGAGGGGCCATTCACCGTCCACCTATGCCTTTACTCCCAAATTGACCCTTGTTCCTTAACTGTTCCCTTCTCCTGGCAGCTCTGTGCATGTGCACACACTAGGAACAAGCTCTAGCTGTTCTTCTGCCCCACTGACCTCCGACTCTGAAGGCAGCTGATAACTGTCGGGCGGTCCTGGCCCCATCTCTGCCTCCGATGCAGAGCCCTCATCAGAGCCTTCCCTAGATTCCAGGACTGGCCCTTGTTCCTCCCCAACCTCCTCACTGTCCAAGTCTGCTGCCAGCTCCACTGGCCACTGAGGGGCCACAACAGTAGCACACGCACTTGGAATCAAATAAAAAAGGGCTGTTCTTCTTTCATATGCTTATTTTATGCAACGGTGACTTAAGCGTGTTAATTTACCTGGACCTCTACTTATCACATGAGGTCTTACAAAATGGGTCACTCTCCCTGAAAATCATCACTTTGGAAAAGAGCTCAGTACAGAACATGAGCAGGTTAATTTTTATGCAAGTTCTTTCTGAAGGGAGGAAGTTCTGATCCACCAATAGTCTGATATGATACATTGTGGGTACAGTTCAACACTAAAAACTAGGTACAAGTAACTACAAGAACATAGTTTTAAGAACTTTGAAAATAATAGCAATAGCACTTAGACTTATATACTGCTTTACAGCACTCACTAAGCAGTTTACAGAGTCACCATATTGCCCCAACCAATTAGAATAGAATAGAATAGGGAATAGAATAGGAGTAGCGTAGAGTAGAATAGAGTAAGTGTAGCATAGAGTAGAATAGAATAGAGTAGAGTAGGATAGGATAGGTTAGAATAGGAAAGAATATGGAATAGGAATACAATAGAATGGGGAATAGAATAGGAAATAGAGTAGAATAGAATAGAATAGAATAGAATAGAATAGAATAGAATAGAATAGAATAGAATAGAATAGAATAGAATATTGGAATGAAGAATGGAATGGAATAGAATAGAATAGAATAGGGAAGAGAAGAGAAGAGAAGAAAAGAAAAGAGAAGAAAAGAGAACAAGAGTAACATAGAGTAGAATAGAATAAGAGTAGCATAGAGTAGAATAGAATAAGAGTAGCATAGAGTAGAGTAGAGTAGAGCAGAGTAGAGTAGAATTCTTTATTGGCCAACTGTGATTGGAAATACAAGGACTTTGTCTTTGGTGCATATGCTCTTGATGCACATAAAAGAAAAGATACATTCGTCAAGAGTCAAGAATCATAAGGTACAACACTTAATAATAATAGTCGTAGGGTAGAATAAGCAATCAAATCCTACTAGGAAACAGTCAATATAAATTGTAAGGATACAAGCGACAAGGTTACAGTCATACACTCATGAGTGGGAGGAGATGGGGGATAGGAATGATGAGAAGATCAATAGTAATAGTAATGCAGACTTAATAAATTTGGGTCCTCACTTTGAAAATAATATTAAATAAAAGGTAGCTACCTAGCAAAATTGGAGGAGCTGCACTACTTACAGGAGTCATTACTGCACAAATCTTCTCCTTTGCCGCAGTATTGCTTGCCTTTGGTTCTGAGATTGGCCTTGACGGGACAACTGTCTCCAGGTTTCAGAATGACACTGAAGACCTGCTTTCCTGTCCACAGGGTGACCGGCTAAGAAAAAAAGAGGCCAAGAAGAAAGGATTATAAATACGGATGGGGAAGAATGTTCTCCAGATGGTAGTTCAGAGGAGGATGTGCTGGCAACTGAGGGTTACGAGCCAGGAATGGAGGGGTTGAGCACAGGGGAGCAACCAAACGAGCAGCCTAAACTCAAGAATATTCATTCTCATTCTCTGTCTTGCTCTGTCCCTCCATCTTCTCTTTTTCCCTCTGTACTTCTTTCTCTCCTTCTTTCTCTCCCTCTCTCACCTTCCCTCCCTCCCTTTCTCCCTCCCTCCATCCCTCTCTCCCCCTCCCTCTTTCCCTTTCTCTCCCCCACCCTCCATGTCTCTTTCTCCCTCTGTCCTTCCCTCCATGTCTCTCTCCCTCCCTCCTCCCTTTCTCTTCCCCACTCCATCCCTCTTTCTCCCTTCGTCCCTTCCTCTCTCCCTCCCTCCCTCCCTCTCTCTCCCTCCCTTTCTCTCCCCATCCTCTCTCTCTCTCTCTCCCTCCCTCCCTTTCTCCCTCCCTCCAGTCGCTCTCACACTTTCTCTCTGCCATACCTTAAGAATTGCTGGAGGTGGGAGGCGAACTTTCACTTTTTCATCCTTGCCCACCAGAATAGAGGCGATCAACTGACACGCTTTCGCTCGATCAAAAAAAGTGTCCTTTAGCGTGAGGAGATAAGCACCTAAAATTCAAAAAAAAAAAAAAAAATCCAGAAAGAAAGAAAAAGCATTCAGGTAGATGCATTTTATCAGCTCTCAGGTTTTTATAGCATGACATTGCGATGCAAAACAACTCCAAAATAATGTATTTATTTAAAGATCATTTACACGGTATGAAGATAAAAGAGCAAAAAAAAAAAGTGATTAAAAACGGAAGAAAAATATTTTATCTCCTGGCACTTTCCTTCTTGATATAGATAGGCACATTTTCTTTCACCTTTATAAAGCTGTAAATACTATGTCAAAAAAACAGAAACTTTTAGGGGAAAACTTTCAGAAAACGTTTTCCAAGGTTCATACATTTGCAGTTTATACATAACTATTTCAGACATATTTCAAAAGATACCAACAGAAAAAAAATCTGTGACACTGTATTAATTTCTTAATTTAGGAGGAAACATTATTTCAATCAGGAACAAAAGACTCCCAACATTGTTCCAATAATAAGTTCCCTAAAGGCTCAGGTGAAAAAAAGAAAAGAAAAAAGGATATTAGTTTCTATTTTTCCCCTCCGGTCATTTTTTTTTTTTTTTTTTGGTTTTGTTTTGTTTTCCAAAACACTGGGAAAATGAAGCATTTGGAAAGACTAAAATAAAACATCCTTGTTTATGCCCCATTATTTTACAAAGACGTATCTAGAGACTGATGTCAAATACACACCTGTCAGAAAATCCTGAATTGCAGCGATCAGCGGTTCTCCATTCCTTGGGGTTACCAAGTTGGCTTTGGTCTGAGAAAAGAAAGTATTTTATTTTTTAGTTGCCCTCCGAGAAAAGAAATGGATTAGATCAGACCATGTTGCATATACTTCACACTTGAAGCCAATTACTTCACTTTCCTGATTCAAGTGTAGACTGTAAGGTACATTTGAGATACAGAGATAAGTATAAAATATATGGTTTGCAGAGAAATGGCTAGGTAAGTGTATATTTGGGTTTCAAAGAACAAAACAAAGCAGAAAGGAGGAAAAATAATGACAAAAACCATCACCCTGAAGGAATAACAGACGGGGGGGTGGGGTGGGGGGAAGAAGAGGTGTTTTCTTGGCTCAGAACCTGATTAATAGCAAATAGACACCAATAAATAGTTTTTTTTCCCCCAATGGGCTAGCAAAATAGCTCCATCAAGAACTGGCGTTAGAACTTGGTGAACTTCAATCGCTTCAAATTTAGTTGGAGTTGATCTGATCTGTTTCAGGGCACGTAATAAAAAGCATTATCAATAAAGGAGAATATTTGTAGCTCAGGGTTGAAATGAGGGCTCCTTCTCACAGAGCTACCCAAAGATATGGCAAACAGTGTCTCTAAGGCAAGGAAAAAACACAATTAAAATCATGGCGTAAAATGAAATAGCAGAGCTGAACTGTAACGTACTCAGGACAGAATTGGGGGATTAGTTCTAGGTTGCTTCTCTCCTTGATGAGTTTTCATCCATTGTTTCTCGCCTGCCCTCAGGTGCTTTGGAAAATAGGTTGACTCCCTCTTCTCTGTGGCAGCCCTTCAAATATTGCAAGTCCTGCCCTCCTAGTCCTTCTCTTCACTAGACTAGACATTCCCAATTCCTGTAACCATTCTTAGAATGTAATAAGAATATGGAATAAGAATAGAATAGAATAGAATAGAATAGAATAGAATAGGGAATATAGTGGAAAATAAAAATAGAATAGGGAATGGAATGGAATTGAAAATAGAATAAAATAGAATAGCAGAGTTGGAAGGGAACTTAGAGGTCTTCTAGTCCAACCCCCTGCTCAGACAAGAAACCCTACCCCATTTCAGACAAATGGCTGTCCAATCTCTTAAAAACTTCCAGTGTTGGAGAATTCACAACTTCTGGAGGCAAGTTAATTGTTTTAACTGTCAGGAATTTTCTTCTTAGTTCTAAGTTGCTTCTCTCCTTGACTAGTTTCCACCCATTGCTTCTTGTCCTGCTCTCAGGTGCTTTGGAGAATAGCTTGACTCCCTCTTCTTTGGGGCAGCCCCTCAGATATTGGAAAACTTCTATCCTGTCTCCCCTGGTCCTTCTCTTCACTAGACTAGCCATGCCCAGTCCCTGCAACCGTTCATCATACTTTTAGCTTCGAGTCCCCTAATCATCTTTGTTGTTCTTCTCTGCACTCTCTCTAGAATCTCCTCTCAACACCTTTTTTTGTATTGTGTGATCAAACTTGGATGCCATACTCCAAGTGTGGCCTTACCAAGGCCTTATAAAGTACTATTAATACTTCACGTGATCTTGATTTCTATCCCTCTGTTTATGCAGCCTAGGACTGTGTTGGCTTTTTTGGCAGCTGCTGGCTCATATTTAAGTGATTGTCCACTAGGACTCCAAGATCCCTCTCACAGTTACTACTATTGAGCAATAAACTTTGAGCGATCGTCATACATTCCAACTTCCCGTCCCCTAATCATCTTGGTTGCTCTTCTCTGCACTTTTCTCCCTCACATAAGGTCTCAACATCTTTTTTTTTTTTTTTGGATCACAGTGACCAAAACTGAATCGACTGGCTTCATTTGAACAGGAGGAGGATGCAATGGTGCAGGTCGATTAGCACCACTGAAAACTCTTTCGACTCCTGAAAGCTGTCACTAACCAGGAGAATTCAACAGCGGCCTCTCTCAACAAGAGGTCTGCTTACCCCCATCAGGACAAGTGCTTCGGCTTTGGCTTCTTCGGTTTGAGGAAGATGAAGGTTCATCTCATCGCCGTCAAAATCGGCGTTGTATGGCGTGCAAACACATTCGTTGAACCGGAAAGTCCGGTGCGGCTTTACCTTAGCCTGAAACACAAGGTCAAACCAAGGTAAGAAAGAAAACAAATGCTCAAGGGATTTTAAATAGGCCCATTGGTAATAATGGGAAGCACCTGTCCTTTGGCTTTGAATAGGGCGGTTTTTGTTCTGACCCAGGCTTAGCAGAACCAAGAAACAGACTCCTTGTCCAGAAAACCCCCTTCTTTATTTGGCTACTGTGAATTCATGGCATTCACACACAAAAAAGTCCAGGCAATAATCCTTCCAAGGGTTAATTGCAAGAACAGACCTTATCAGTTCCTTGGATAATTGCCAGACCGAGAGCTTCCAGTCACGAACCACGATAAGCAAATCTTCATAATAATAAGCGAACTATTAGTCTCCTGCAACCACCACTCCCCTTTTGCTTCTATTTATTCCCAAGGGAGGGGCCATTCAGTGTCCAAGTGCCTTTCCTTCCAAATTGGCCCATTTCTTAATTGTTCTCCTCTCCTGACAGCTCTGTGCATACACAGATCTGGAACAGGCCCCAGCTGTTCTTCTTCCCCACTTATCTCCAACTCTGAAGGCAGCTGGGAAATGTCCGACAGCCCTGGCCCCATCTCTGCTTCCAACGCAGAGCCTTCCCCAGACTCCAGGTCTGGCCTAGGTTCCTCCCCAACCTACTCATCGTCTGAGTCTGCCCCCAGCTCTGCTGGCAGCTGGCAGGCCACAACAGTTTTAACAAGAAAAAGAGAATGACATATTTGGTCTTGAATACAGTAACACACGACGGTTCAATCTGGCTTCCCCCTTGACTTTGCTTGTCAGGTCGCAAAAGGAGATCACATGACCCCAGAACCCTGCAACAGTCGTAAGTACATGCCAGTTGCCAAGCAGCCAAATTCTAATCACATGACCAAGTAGACAGAAAACGTCTATGGAGATTCTCCGTCATCCAGGTCATGGTTGTTCCAAAGGTGATTTTTCAAGAGGCAACTGGACTTTCTTGGTTTTTCCTTGAAGACATTTTGCTTCAGTTTTGAGAGCTTCAGAGCTGAAGAGGCTTCTTGGAAGAGAAGCAAAATGTCTTCAAAGAAAAACCAGAAAGTCCAGTTGCCTCTTGAAAAAGCACCTTTGGTTTTTCCTTGGCAACTTAGGTTTGGTTCTACTTTCTACAGAAATGATGGAATGGTTAGCTATTTGTAACAGAATAATGGAGTTGGAAGGAGCCTTGGAGGTCTTCTAGTCCAACCCCTTCCTCAGGCAGAAACCCTTTACCATTTCAGACAATTGGTTGTCCAAACTCTTGTTAAAAAAAACCTCTAGTGTTGGAGCATTCACAACTTCTGGATGCAAGTTGTTCCACTGGTTAATCCCTTTAACTGTCAGGAAATTTCTCTATCTGCAAATTTAGTACAATAAGCAACTTTGTCACTAGATGAATCATGAAGCCAAATGCCCAGATTGCGTTTGAAGTTTGACACAGACAACATCTTCCGCACCAGCCTTCTCCTTCTCTTACTGCAACCCTACTCCTAAAGACCATGAAACAATGAGAAACCTAAAATAGATTTTGTGCTTACTATGTGAGCCATGATGCTGAGCTTGTGCAAAGAGGGCTGGCGGTTAAACAAGACTATGTCTCCATCGATCAGGTGCCTCTCTACAATGTCTCCATACTTCAGCTCCTGTGCCATCCTCTCCCGGTTTCCATATTTCAAAAACCTAAGCAGGGGCAGGAAGAGAGAAAGAAAATACAGAAATTGATTCAAACTTGCACTTAAATATTTTGAAGTACTGTCTACTTGGCCCAAAGGTGCTTTTTTTTCAAGAGGCAACCGGACTTTCTGGTTTTTCTTTGAAGACGTTTCACTTCTCATCCAAGAAGCTTCTTCAGCTCTGACTGGATGGTGGGGAATGGAAGGATTTATACTCCTTGCAGACAGCTGGTCATTTGCATCCTTTTTAGAGAGTCATTGAGGCCACCTGGAGGTTTGTATGTGTCCTCAGGGTCACTTGAATAGTGCAAATGGGTGTGGAGCCTTCTTGGAACTACTGAAAGGACTGTGTTGTCAGCAGTACCAAAAAGGCTCCACACCTATTTGTACTACTGTCGTGACCCTGAAGACACAGACAAACCTCCAAGTGGCCTCAACAACTCTCTAAAAGAACACAAATGACCAGCTGTCTGCAAGGAGTATAAACCTTCCATTCCCCACCATCCAGTCAGAGCTAGATGAAATCATTTGATGAAATGATTACCTTTTCTAAACCCCACCATCAAAAAAAAAAACCTGTCCGCTTATACCTTGGAAATGCCTTCTTTAGTAATAAAAATGATTTCCCCTAAAACTTGTTATTCATCTAACAGTCAAAAGTTGCAGCGCATACTATAATAAAATATAGTATAGATTAAACCTTTGTATTGAGGGTTTTGTAAGATGGATAAACTAATTGTATTATTGTTTTGTGACTATTATTGTTTACTATTATGACTTATGTTGATTAACATTGTATTTCTACCTAAAACTAATTACATCCAGACAACACGCTGTTCAGATTGATATGGAATTTTTTATGCGATATAAAAGGAAAATGTATTAATAAAACATATATTTTTTTTAAAAAAAAGTTGCAGTGCAGGCATTACACTCAATTGTTCAGGAAGAGAAAAAGTAACACGCTTTGTCGTCCAAACGTGCTGATCAACAAATACAACCATTTTTAATTGTACAGTTAATGGGATTAAAATTAAAACTGTACATGCTTCTATCAGCTGGGAATCCAAGCTTCCAAGGTTTTCTTTTTTACAACTAAGGCACATTGCTGCTTCTGTGAAAAAGTATGTTTGTAGGGGTTAATTTCACCCACACTTAAAAACAGAAGGGCCTTAGCAAAAGAAATGAAATATAAACTGACAGGAGGAAACCACAAAGATTGTGTTGAATTACATCCAAGACCTATAGATAAAGGTAAAGGTTCCCCTCGCACAGACGTGCTAGTCCCTTCCGGTTCTAGAGGGTGGTGTTCATCTCTGTTACAAAGCCGAAGACGTCTCCGTGGTCATGTGGCCGGCATGACTAAATTCCTTTCAAGGCGCACGGAACGCTGTTCCCTTCCCACCAAAGGGGTCCCTATTTTTCTACTTGAATTTTTTTTTAACTTGCTTTCAAACTGCTAGGCTGGCAGAAGCAAGTAACAAGGAGCTCACTCCGTTACGCGGCGCTAGGGATTCGAACCGCCCAACTGCAGACCTTTCTGATCGACAAGCTCAGCAGCTTAGCCACTGAGCCACGCACCCCTAAGCCAAGACCTATAGAGTTATGCATGACTGAAACCAAGAACTGAAACAGAAGGAACAGGGGACAGAGAAGTAGAAAAATGCTACTTATGACTAAAAAAACAAACAAACCCCGCACCGTTTCATTTGTGTATGCCTCTGCTGGATGAAGTTGGCACCGGGATGGACTTCTGGACCATTACGTACAAGTTTCCTCATGAAGGCGATGTTGGCTTTGTTTACCTGCACCAGGTAGAAAGGAAATGCACCTTTAGGTCTAGAGCGTAATGAAAAACAAACCTTTACGATGACCTCAAGAACTGGATATATGGAAGATGTCACAAGAGTTGGTACAATAAGACAAAAGTGTCAATATTATGTCAAATTTAGTAAATATGTCCAGGTTAATATATCAACATTGTCATCACCACTACCACCCACGCACCTAGGACAGGGGCTACCTGTTATTCCAAATAATACAATTCTGACTTACTTTAGTCTTGCAGTTAACAGAATAACAGAGTTGGAAGGGATCTTGGAGGCCTTCTAGTCCAACCCCTTGCTCAAGCAGGAAACCTTAGATCAATTCAGACAAATGGCTATCCAATCTCTTCTTAAAAACCTCCAGTGATGAAGCACCCACAACTTCTGGAGCAAGGGCGTTCAAATTTGGCAAGTTTGTGGACTTCAATTCCCAGAATCCCTGAGCTAACAAGACTGGAAGAGGAATTCTGGGAGTTGACGTCCACAAGTCTTAAAGCTGTCAAGTTTGAAGACCCCTGTTCTGGAGGAAAGCTATTCCACTGATTAATTGTTGTTACTGTCAGGAATTTTTTCTTTGGTTCCAGCTTGGTTCTCTCCTTGATTAGTTTCCATCCTTTGCTCCTTGTCCTGCCTTCTGGTGTTTTGGAAAATAAGTTGACCCCCTCTTCTTTGTAGAAGCACCTTAGATACTGGAACACTGCTATCGTGTCACCCCTAGTCCTTCTTTTCATTAGACTAGACATACCCAATTCCAGCAATTTATATGTTTTAGCCTCCAGTCCCCTAAATCGTCATTGTTGCTCTTCTCTGCACTCTTTCTAGAGTTTCAACATCATTTTTATAACATGGCGACCAAAACTGGATGCAGTGTTCCAAATGTGGCCTTACCAAAGCATTATAAAATGGTATTAACACTTAATGTGATCTTAATTCTATCCCTCTGTGAATGCAACCTAAGACTCAATTCAATTCGATTCAAACTACCGTTTCCCTGAAAATACAACCTACCCTGAAAGTAAGTCCTAGCTTGATACATGCACCAAATATAAGACCTACCCCAAAATAAGCCCTAGGCTTTTTCATGAAGGCCTCTGTAGCTGATAACAAAGGTCTGGATCGATCCTGAGTTCTATTATCAGCTGCAGAGGCCTTCAGGAAAGCCTTGCTGGCCGCAGAAGGAGAAGTTCCTGAAGGCCTCAGACAGCAAAAAGGAGGCCGGGGGCAACGTGCGCAAGTGAGGTTAGTCAGTGGATGACATCCCCCCGAAAATAAAACCTGGTGCCTTTTTTGGTGGGGGGGAGGGGGGGAAATGACAAGATCTTATTTTCGGGGAAACGCAGTAAGTGTGAAATCTTTAATCGAGGGCATCTCGTCGAGGGCTTCTATACCAAGGGGCCACACCACAGAGAATCAGAGTGGAATTCGTCTTCGCTACCTTCTCAGGAAAGGTGAGAATCTTGGCCACGTGAACAGGTACAGCCACTTCATCAATTCTCAGGTTCGGGTCAGGAGAGATCACTGTTCTGCCTGAGAAATCGACTCGTTTTCCAGACAAGTTTCCCCTAAAACGACCTAAGCAAAAAAAAGCAAAGCAAAACAGAAAACAAAACAAAAAAAGGAAAGAGGGAAAATGAGGTGAACTTAGTGAAATAAAACCCGATTGATGTTTCGGTGAGAAAAACACACACACACAAGCTTGCAAATCTGTTACTGGTGTATATTGGTGCCTCGCCGTAGGGCCCACAAACTATGGAGGTGACTGAAATAGGGGAACACCAACCTTGCTTCCCTTTGAGCCGTTGCACAAAGCCTCTGGTCCATTTCTTGGGCGCCATGTTGAGGGGAATGCCAGAAAGTTCACTGTTAATATACAGGGCACATTGTAGCTGCAGGAAATCCCAATCTTCCATTATCATCTGAGTTTTGGCTCCAGATATTCTATGCTGAACAGACAAAAGCCAACCCAAAAGGCCAAAACAAACAAACAAACAAAAAAGGCAGATTAAAAACTATTGGTTGTAACACTGGGAAGTTCACATGTTTTTTTGAAGAACAGGGATCACAGAGAACTTAAGTAAAAGCAATAGCCCCTTAGACTTATATACTGCTTCATGGTGCTTTCCAGTCCTCTCTAAGCGGTTTACAGAGTCATCATCTTGCCCCTAAACAATCTGGGTCCTCATTTGACCCACCTTAAAAGGATGGAAGGCTGAGTCAACCTTGAGCCTGTCAGAATTGAACTGCTGGTACTCAGCAGAATTAGCCTGCAATACCACTGTGCCACCACGAGAATGTATTGTGTTGCTAAACATCATAGTGAAGCTATAGAGCAGCGTGGTGGCCTAATGGTGAAGACTCTCACCTCCCACTTGGAAGGTTGAGAGTTCAATCCTAGCTAGCGGCAGATGTTTCTCTCTCCTAGGGTGCAAAGAAAAAAAAAAGCTGCTGTGAACTTTGCATAGGGCATTCGGCCAGTAAACGCTCAGCTCTATCCAGTTGCCCCCATTCTAGTTCGGATTAAGGGATTATAATGCAGTGGCACAGTGTTTAGAGTGCAGTACTGCAGGCTACTTCTGCTGACTGCCGGCTGCCTGCAATTTGGCAGTTCGTATCTCACCAGGCTCACGATTGACTCAGCCTTCCCGTCCTTCCGAGGTGGGTAAAATAAGGACCCAGATTGCTGGGGGCAAGAGGCTGACTCTGTAAACTACTTAGAGAGGGTTGCAAAAGCACTGTGAAGCAGTGTATAAGTCTAAGAGCTATTGCTATTGCTAGGATTAACTGTGGTTTGTTAATCAAAAGTCTGCTCATTTCAAACACTTTGCTTTCAAATATATCTAAAATGTCTCAGGGCTGTATCCAAATTAAGTCATTTTGAAATCAGTGGAAGAAATTATCATTAGGAATATCATGGCTTTCAGTGTGAAGACAATTGAATGACCTTAGCCTATGTGGGGATCAAATAAAAAGCCCATTAGCCATAAAGAGACAGCTCGTGTACAAGGAAACCAAAATAATAATTTACCACATATATCAGGATGGTGTAAATATCATTGTAACCCTGATATAGTGGAAATTTAACAAGGACTAAAATGGGGGGGGGGGGGTTGTGTGTTTGTGTGTGTGTGTGTGTTTAAAGCCAAGAATATCACCAGAGCCAGAAAATAGGTTTAATGAACAGCCAGAAACACGATTAGCATCAGAATTGGGCAAAAACTGTTAATTAAAATAGCTGAAGGGAAAAATAGCTGAAGGAAAAATCAATAAGGTACCAGGCCGAGACATAATAGGTCTCGGCCAGAATTCATGATGATTAAAGAACCACCTTGAGATGTTCAATATTTGAAACAGTAAGTTGAGACAACATTTTACAATGAATAGGAGACAAGATTTTTGCAACCGCCTTTTGACAACAAACTGAGAAAAGTTTCTTTCAGGAAATACTTACACAAGAGAGGGAGAAGAGGAGAGGAGAAGGGAAGGGAAGAAAAAGGGAAGAGAAGAGAAGAGAAGAGAAGAGAAGAGAAGACCAACCTAAGAGAAAATCTTGAGACATCTTCTGCAAATATTATACTGCCTTTCATGCTAATTTGGGGCTCCTTGTCCAAGCTATGTTAAACATGGTTGATTGGGAATATAAGGAATGCTACATGTCAGTCAGTTCATTTTGTTCATGTAGCTCTTTCTATTCTTTATATTTAAAAACAGAAATTGGTAAAACAAAACATATAAAATAAAAATAAACAATAATATATTGGTGGCCTTTTGTTTGGATTGCTCAGTATTTTGCCCCATGTAAATTCAATAATTTAGTTTCACCTGAAACAGTAAAATAGATGAGGTTAAATTGCCTATAACCAGTTTCACTCTACAGTTGCCACATTTATGTACAGCAAGGGGAAGGACCTGATATTCACTGTAAACAGCCTTAAATAAAAGGCTTCCTATTCCAATTTTTACAAATTATATTCTAAAGCGAGAGGGGAGGGTAAGAACATGTATTGTAATATATGACCAATTTTCTTTATCATTAAAAAAAGGAAACAACATGGAGTGATTTCACTTTTTTCAAATTGAAAAGGGGGAAAAAGGTACCATAAATAAAAACAAAAAAATGAAGGGAAAAACATTTCAATTCTTCTCTCTCTCTCTCTTCCTTCCTCCTTCCTTTTCTTCCTTCCTTCCTTCCTTCCTTTCTTTCTTTCTTTTCTCCCTTCTTCCCTTCATTCCTTCCTTCCTCTGTAGCTGCAAGAAACAAAACAAGAAGCTACCTTTTTGATCACATCGTTAAGGAAAATGATTTCTGTCAACTTCATTGTTAGATCATCCTCGTTGGTGCCGGATTTCAAGTCACTGATCACAGAAGGCCGAATGCAGAGTGGTGGAACCAAAAGGCGGGTCAGGATCAAGTCTGAAGGCTTCCCTGATTCTGGGTTCATCAGAAGAAGAGGGATGTCTTCTGCAGGAATTCTCTTCAAGATGTTCAACACCATTAAGGGGTTCAGGTTCTCCTGTAAGAGTCAAAACGACAGAGTCACCTTTTTACCAAATCGCCCTACATGGGGACTACAAAAACTCGCCACGGCCAACTCACCGCGGCTAATTCACCACGGCCAACTCTCCAGGACTAACTTTGTGCAGCCAACTTGCCACCGGCAATTCACCACAGTCAACTTACCATGGCCAATTCACCATGGCCAACTCACCGCAGCCAACTCGCCATGGCCAACTCGCTGCAGGACAAGAATTACCCTAATATTGAACAAATAGTGGAATGGAATCATTTCCAGGTCAATCGTGGTTGTCACTTGAGGACTACTTATCTTCTGCTAATCTTACGTTTAAGCTAATTTGCTCTCCCTGTGATGCTATAATACAAGTCCAGGCACAGACACACTAACATCCATAGTAGTTCCACTCCAACAGAAACCTGGATTATTGTAAA